TTAGGTAAGTTGATTTATTCTTTTTTAATTTTAATTTAATCTTATATAATTATTATAAAATTTCAACAGAATTTGTTTAAAATTGTGTACCGGTTGATTTTGAAATGTAAATTTTTGGTTTATAATTAATAATTATATTTGAAATAAAAAAATTTAATTTTTTTATTTCAATAACGATAAATTTTTAATTTTATGTTACACAATATTTATTGAATTTTATTGGCTGATTAATGTTAATCGTCTCAAAAAATCAGACCAATAAATGGATTTTTAACTATACTAGCTTAACCTGACTCACTCCTATCCATATCATTCCTTTCAAACGTAAATATGTCTGTCATGGATTTTTATCATTATACCGCATTATAGACTGGATGTGTGCTAATATAGTAAAGCATTATCATGATAATCTAGAACGAAAAGATTGGGAATATGTAGTTGATAAAGTAAAGAAGGATCTTCGATACATCACAACTTCAGATTCCAGATTTAGCGTCATGCACAAAAGAAAATCTCAAGAAATTCTAGACTCCTGAAAGGTAGATTTTTATAAATAATTTGAGGAAAACCTAGTTATTTATTCTTTTTGAACGCAAGCTGGGACTGCTAGTTGTCAGTGATGAACTGCTTGTTCGACGTTCCTTTTCTAGTGCAAGCTGGGACTGCTAGTTGCCAGTGATGAACTGCTTGTTCAACGCTTCTTTTTTGAGTGCAAACTGGGACTGCTAGTTGCCAGTGATGAACTGCTTGTTTGACGCTCATATATTTTGATAATTTATTTCCTAAAGAGTTTTCTTGCTAATTATAATACATTTTCATTAAGTCTTGGACCGCAAGTAATAGAACAAAACAGAATGATACAGGTTTCAGTTCGAGTTTCATCAGGTGAGATTCTAACTTGAAAATTTTATAAGGTAAAAAACTATGAGTAATGTTATTTTCAATTAGATAGAACAGCAGGTGCTCGCAACTGGAAATACTGTATCCATTGACAATATCGATAATTGTCGTCTAACTGGAAAACATTACTGAGATAGTGGAAAGGAAATAATGGATAAAAATGTAATCTTGCTGAAGCAGACGAAAAAAGTGAGATCACTATTGAACCAATTGTTCTGAGAATAAAATAATCTATTAATATGTTCTGTACAATTACCTTCCTTGCAATCTAGATGAAATTGAAATCTTCTCAAATAAAATAAAAATCCACTATTTTCAAGTCCGATGAGAGCGGAATGGAAGATGCGGTCATTGAAAATACTTCATACGAAAATTGTCAGCATTGTTCTACCCCGGAAGATAAGGTAGCCATCATGTTTTTTAATGTATGGCTTTTGCAGATCAAAACAGTCAACTTGGATGAGGTCCCTTCTACAATGACAACAATTTTGTTATATGTTCTATCTACTCCATCTAGAGGTTAGAACTGGTTAATTAACCGGTTAAAACAGTTAACATGTTAATCGGTTAAAGATTTTTTTTAACTAGTTAAAATAGATGAATTTAAATCTGGCCGAAAGTCAATTCCCGGCCAGAATTAAGATTTTTATGATTGACAAAATATTGTCTAACTCTGGCTAAATTTATAATACTGGCTAAAGTTAATTTTAACCGGTTAATTAACCAGTTAACAAATATTTTAACCGGTTATTAACCGGTTAAAGAATTTTCAGCCGGTTCTAATCTCTAAATTATAATATTACACAAATAATTACAGTCAATGACTAAAATTATGCGGATATTTTGATTTGACAAAATTAGACAGTTTATCACATGATAACATTATATAAACAATATATTATTTTTTATTTATAATGATAAACAATATTTCAAACCTTTTCATTTTTAAGCAAATTTATACAAAATATGAAAGCACTAACTCCCAAAACTTGTGGTGTTATTACTTATAGTTATAAATGTGAACAGTCAGATTATACTATAGCTAAACAGCTAAGTTGCAACAAAACGGCTGTTTATAGTATTCTTAAACATCTTTGCGAAACTGATTCTTTAATACTAAAAAAGCAGACTGATTACTCACCACTTCTAAGTACATCAGCTTAACAAAAACTTAAAGCTTTTATTTAAGAAGTTAGTGAAACTCGTATATTTTGCTCAAAAATGCTTTTAACTATTTGGATAGTTCGTATAAAACAGTCTATTTCTGCTTTTACTATACATCTAAATTTTAAGAAAGTTGAACTTTTTGCTTGTATTCCTTGTTGTAAACCTGTTATGACAGAATTACATTGTTAAGCTTATCTTGAATGGGCTTGTGCACATAAAAATTGAACAGCAAAATAATAAAGAAGAGTATTTTTTTCAGATAAAGTACTTTTATATAATTTCAACAAGATCATCAAGAAAAGGTGTAGTATGAATCTGGAGAAGAATTAAATCCTGACTGCATTGCAATTACTGTAAAACATAGTTCCAGTAGAATGTTTTGAGAATGCTTTTTTTGGCATGAACTTGGGCCAATTGTTCTATTAAAAGGTTTAATTATTGGTTAAATACATATCAAAATTATTAATGATTATGTTATATTTATCTTGTGTGAATACTTTTTACACAGTAATAGAATTTTTCAAGAGGATAACGCTACATCACATCATTCAAAAGTTGCTACAGCTGCTTGCTAAAATGCTAAAATCAAAATAATTAATTGATCTGCACAAAGTCCTAATCTTAACCCAATTGAGAATCTTTAGGCTGAGATAAAAATGATGGTTCATTACCATACTCTATCACCATCTAGTATTAAAGTACTTAAAAAGAATGTTAAGGATGTATAGAAAGATATTCCTTTAGAATATTACAAAAAACTGATCAATAGTATGTCGCAATGAATTATAGCAGTTATTACTGCAAATAAAAATAGGATTAATTATTAAATTTTTTTTAATTTTTTTATAAATCAATAAATAAAGATATATTGAATTTATATTTGTTAAAATTTTATTTTTATTATATTATGTATATATAATTTTTTTTGATTTTAAAAATGTCTGCATAATTTTGATTGTTGATTATATTATTATAAAATTGTATTACAATTAAATAAATTATATAATGTTAATCAAGATTTTTGGTAATTTAACAATTTATATAATAAAGTTAATAATGCTTAATAGTATAACAAATAGTATAAATATTTTCTAATAAATAGCATTTAAATAAACATTTTTTTTTAAATTTTTCAAAGAAAAAATATGCTTAAATTTTTTAAGTAAAATTTTTAAAAGTAAATATAGATTTAATTTTATAATATACTATAAATTATTATACAAATTTATTTTTAAATCATTTTGCAAATTTACTTTAAAATCATTTTATAAAATTATTTTGCTTTTTTTAAAATCTTTTTTTAGTTTTTTTTTAGTTTTCTTTAATTTTTCCTAGCTTTTTTGAGCTTTTTTTTTACTTTAGCTTTTTTAGTTTATATACATATTAGTTTACATTTAACTTTCTTTAATAGTTATAATATTATAATATTAATAATATCTTTTAAAATAATAGTAAACTCTGATACAATTAATAATTTTAAAAGAAGTAGACGACCATTTTTAGATATTTGAGATCATAAGTTAAAGGGTAATAAACAATCAAAAGGACATTATTCAGTAACTTGTAATAGTTGTGAATTATATTAGAAATATGGAAAGCCTTATATTCTTTAAGAACATTTAGCTAATTATTATAAAAAATGTTCTAAAGAACTTGGATTATATTATATAAGTATTATAGAAAGAGATAAGGGAAAGTATAATATTGAAGATAAATATATCTCAAATAAATCAGATGAATCTTCTATTAAAAAATCCAAATAAATGATAATGTCTAATTTATTTGAATTAAAAAAATTAGAAAAAGAAAAAATTGATAAAATCAATTGTATTATTTTTAAGGCATTTATAATGTTTAATATTCTATTCAGTACTATTAAAAATCTATGGTTTTTTAATCTAATTAAAATACTATAATTAACATATGATATACCTTTACGTCAAGTATTAGGTAAATCTTTATTACAAACAGAATTAGCTAAAACTAATATAAGAATAGAAAATAAATTAAACAAAAAAAAATAATTTTACTATTGGTAAGAATTACATAATTATTACATTAATTTAATTAATGATTTAAATTAAATATTAATTAATTATTTTTTTATTTTATGTATTAGCTTTAGATAGGTAGACAGATCCTCGTGATAATAATATTTAGGCTTTTCTTCTTCTAACTCCTTCAAAAAAGAATATCTTTTACAATTAGAAAATATTTCAAATATATATTATGATGCATAAAATTTATCTAATATTATTTTTGATATAATTGAATAAATCAGCATAGATAAATTTGTAATAATTGTCTCAGATAATACTAAAAATATAGCAGCTTTCAGACAAATAGAAGTTCAGAATATTCAAATATAATTAATATTAGATGTATTGCACATTGTATTAATTTGATAAGTTCAAATATTATTAAAATAACACAAGTTGAATATTTTGTAAAATGTTATAATATTCTAATAAAGTTTTTTAAAAATTTACATATTGCTGGATTATGGTTAAAGAAGGCTATTAATTTAAAAGGTATTGATGAAGGAAATTTAAGACATATGTTAAAACTCATTAAATAATAATTTATGAATATGTTACTTCTGTGTAAAAATTAAAAAAAGCTTTACAATATGTATATTTTATATTTTATAATATTTGTTTTTATAGTAATTTATTTAATATATATTTAAATAAATAAAAAATAATTTGAATTTTTAAACTCTTTATTTAATTAAGTATTAAATTATTATAAAAATGAAATTAAAAATAATTCTATTAAATTAATATTAAGAAAATGGAATTTTTTTGATAACATTAGAAATTTATCAGAAATTCTTAAATCAATTAAAGATGCTATATTAGCATTAAAAGATAAAGATACTACTTTAACATATTGATATCTGCAACTACTTAGAATAGCAGTATATTTTAAAACAATGTTAATGATTAATTATTGAACGTTAAAAAATGCTTACATTCAAATTTTTAATAAAAGGTATAATTATATAATTATTATTTAATATTACTTTTAAATTTATTATTATCTAATATATAATTTAAATTTTTTAGATATCTAAAATTTGATGATAATATTTATCTTTTAGCTTTTTTTCTTCATCTATAATACTAAGGTAATTAAATTTTTTTATTTATTTTTTATTATAGTAATTGTAATATAACAATTTTAAAATCAAATATAAGACATAGTATTTATAATACATATTTTGAATATTTACAAAAAACTGCATTAAAAATTTGGAAAAATCTCGATCATAAAAAATCCTCTGGTCAAGAATTGCATGCACAAATTTATAAATATTTTGATTAAGATAGTTGTTATAATTCACCTTATACAACTAATCAAGATATACTGAAGCTGTGATCTGTAACTGTGCTAAAAATAAGTTATG